ACTAATCTTGAACATTCAAGCTGTGCTACTGTGTTATGATGAAATAATCAAGTTGTGGGAAGAGCAAAGTGTCTTGGGATGGTAAAGTGGCCTTCAAAGAAACTATGAGAACAAGAGTTGCCGAGAGTTAAAAAACTACTCCACACACAGCCCCAACAGCATTTTGTTGAAAAAATGTTTTGAAGCATGTGCACTCAGTGAGACTCTCATTGAATTTGAACCTGCTCAAATATTGTCTAGAAAATATCCATTACCCCCCCCCCCCCCCAGGTTTGAACTACTCCACACACCCCACCCCTGGGGTGTGGTTAGTTTAGTTTAAGTGGCCCCGGTAACAGTACCGTAAGGCTGTAATAGCTCAAATTTTTAGCCAGGTGTGAGAAATTGGTCGATAAGCATGAGCTGGCATGAGATCAAAGTTTTCGACTGGCAGGTGTGAGACTCAGGCCTAAGGCGTTAGTGTTGGCAGGTAATGGGTATGGATATTTTCTGTAATCACACCTTTTTCTCTTATTTGGCCAGAGGTGATTATAGTCGATGAGAGTTGAAGAAAACTCTCAACTTTCTGCAACTCTCATTATCCTTTGGCCTGGGCTTTAGAACCAAATTCTACGTAATCATAAAAAAAATTTGAATATTTTATCTGAAAGAATGGCCTGGTAGACCTGACATGCCTGAATTTGTGAATGTCAAAGTAATTTTGAATGTAGATTTGAAGAACAAAGCGGAATAGGTAGTATCTGTCTATAAAATGGGCTGAAACCCAGCACAAATAAGTTAGAGGGACTCAAATATATTGAGTTGCCCTGAGGAAGGTTTTTGAATAAAACCGAAAATTTGGCACGTCTAAAATCCAGTTTTTTGAATATTATTGTTCTAGTATATTGAATACATTTGCCATTGATTCATTCTTAGTTTTACAGATGGTAAACTAGGTAACTTCTTTAAAGAATCTCTTATGATGACTTTTATCCTTGATGTATTGATAAATTTATGGTAAAATTAATTAATATTAACTGATCTCTATAAATAACATAAATCATTTAGCGCTTTCTTTGCCCAATTTTATTGTGGTTATCTAATCTTTCAGTGTTTAGTTTTTTTTTCCTTATTGCCATTAATATTTTAAAAGACATTGCCAGCTGCGTTCAGGTATTTTTGGAACAGAATGTACCACCTGTTAAACTTACCTGAAGCTTTCAAAATGCTAGGAAACAAGACTTCCTTGTAGTACGTTGACAGGAAGTCTACTGGTGACTCAATAACAAAACGTTACAGGTGGCGTCATCAGTAAAGTAAATGTTAATCTTTTATCTTGTCACCTATTCAATTCCTTTTGAAAGGTCTCACTTCTTGTGTCTAAACAAAGATATGTTACCATTAGTGTGGCACATGAGGTTATTTTTTTCACCATCTTCGAAGGAAATCATGAAAGTTCAAGCTTGTTTCAAACGTAGACATGACGGCTTGTATTTATCATGCTTGTGGTACTGTTTCCACCTACCATATGATCAACTTTTGTTGAGTATTGTGGTGTCAAAGGACGTGATCATGTGGCAGCCGCTATGTCTGCCTTGTAGGTGAAAAAATGTCTGTCACAGTCCACCAGAGAAAAAAAGTAAATAGAAAAATATATCATCTTTGTTCCTTCAAATCATTCTGTAATTGAGTTAGTGAAGTCAGAAAATTTCAAGCAATTCAAGGCAAACAGCAAGGCTAATTTGTAAAAATGTGGTATATTTTTAACAGGAAATAACATTTTAGATTTGAATAAAGAACAAAGCAAATACATTGTTACGAAACCACATAATTTTAAACTAATGCATACCACCCACAAGGTTTCAACTTTAAACCATTTCTTTGTCTTATTAATGTCTTGAATTCCACGTGATCCTTGTGTTCTTCAAACAGTTTGCTTTTAGGTTTCAAAAACAAAAGTGACTGTTTGACGTTCACCTCATTTTCGTAAGAGTAACCCTTACAAAGAACTGGTTCAATTTACCTAAAAAATGATGTTTTATTGACAGCCAAAAAATACGGCTTTTATGCATCAATATAATAGTCACAGCTATCCAAACATACATCAAACTGATCAAAGTTTACCTGTTTCTGAACAAAAAGTCATTATCAACCTGCAAACTAATCTGCATAATAACACACAGATATTTACATATCAGATAGTAGTTTTATGAAAGGGGAACGGGTGACCAAAAATAATTTGGACAAAGATGAAAGATATGATCACTATTATTATTATCTAAATTTATCCCACTTCTTTTACAGAGAATCAAAGTTAGCGTTCATCCACCTTCTATAACATTTAAATTTATTTTGAGATTCTTTCGTAACAACAACTTAACCTTGACAATAACTTGTCAAGTATAAATAATTCCTTATAAGGAGATATATTTCCGTTTAAGCAAGGCTCTAAACCAAAACATTTTTCTTGTTGTAAAATTAAAGATATTTTTTTCATTTGACAGAAAACCACTGTTAATTTGTACAAGCAATTGCGTTTTGCCTTCTCATAAATAAAATATTTCAAAATCATGAGTAGTATTTATATAAGCTTTGTATTTTGATATCTATTCATATCTGAAACAGCTAACAAAGGAAACATTTATTTTAATTTATAACTTAAACTTTTCCAAATTGAAACCAAAAATTTCTTGATTCCAGAATCGAGATTTTTGAACATGTGTATATAAAAGCAGTCAATCTTTCTGAAAATACTTTGAGAGGCAAGAAGCTTATTTCGACTTCAACAATGAAAATTTTGATCATAATTTGAACAGGTTGCAAGCGGTTGTTATTCAAGTTTTTTCCCGTTTTCACTTTCTACATGTTAACTTTACAGTGAGGGAATTTTTCTTTAAAAGCTTTGATGTTTTCTTGTGAAACACTGAAACAATCCGTGATGTCAAGTGTTTCTAAACAAGGAAGCGAGCGGCCTAGCTCTAACAGCTGTTCGTCCCCGCTAACAATGTCCGTGAAAGAAATATCCAAATTCCACAAGCAATCCATGTAACAAAAGCACGATTTCAGTCCCTCGTACGTGAGCTTGCTACATCCGTTTATGGACAAAAACGAAAGTTCCACATTAAAGCAAATCGTCTTGAGCCCCTCGTCTGTGATGTCTGCGAACCCTAGCCCAAAGATCGAAACTCATCGCTTGCATAATTTGCGATCACACAGGCTGCGTTGTCGGTAATACCCGTTTCCATACTGTCCGAATTATGGACAATGAGTCTTGCGAGTTTTTCGCATCTGTTCATCAATGCATATACACCAACATCGGTTATTTCGCTAAATTCCAGCGACAAATCTTCCAAGCAGGGCAAGTGATCAGCGATCACGATCAAAGACACGTCTGTTATCACACCGTTGGAAATGTTCAAGCATTTTAAATTTCGGCATAATTGAGCGATTGTACAAACTCCAAAATCGGTTATGCCGCCGTCTTTGTCGCAGTAATCTATGACGAAGGATTCGAGTTTTCGGCATTTTTTTGCCAAAGATGCCAAACTTCTGTCCGTCACCAGAACTTGGTTGTATCTGAGAGTCAGCTTTCGAAGTTTTCGGCAGCCATTTGCCAAAAGTCGAACCATTTGATCGGTCAAAACATCAGCATAACTGCGTTGATCGTCTTCCAGCGAAGCTTCGTATACGATCAGTTTTTCAAGCTCTGGACATCCCGTTGAAATCGCCTTGATGGTTCTTTCTGTGACAGCGATAGAATAAGCGTACAGCTTTTTCACGCCAGGGTTATTTTTCACCAAGTTCGAAAGCGCTTTCTCAGAAATGTTCCTCAAAGGAATCGAAACCGTTTCGAGAGCAGAACAATTGCGCGCCAAAGCGAAAATGCCGTTATCCGTGATGAAAAGACAGCCATTTAGGTAAAGATTTCGTAGGTTTGGACAGTGCACAGAGATATGCTGCAACGACTCGTCTTTAACAGCTGTGCAGTTCGTTAAATTGACGCTTGAAATAAGATTTGTCTTGTGTGGAATGAGTCTTGTGATGGTGTCAGCTGCCACCTTGGGAGCGTGTTTCTGGCGAACTCGAACCGTTCTCCATAAGCTGGGATCGTAGCAGAGCCTATGCCATCTTGTACACACTCTTGTGCATCGAATGAGGCGAGGATAGTCGATATAAGATAGAATTTGAATGATAACGGAGTCGGGTAAAGCACTGAACGCAGCCATCTCCTAACCGACTCCTAACCTTCTTTGTTTTCTTTGCCTTTTCAGTTTTTTCATTGATTTTCCCGCGCATTGTTCTCAGCCTCTCTCCCACGTAGCCTCGATATCGTGTTTCTCTCCCAGGTCCTCCTCCTTTTACTTTCCACATGGGATAACTTGGGCGACGAAGCATTCGCCGAGTGGATCAGGAATCTTTCATTTTCTTCTCTCGTAGGGAACTAGCGGTTTAAATTGTAAGTCACTTGCCTATTTCTAACTGTTGTCTGATCTATGGAATGTTTTAATATGATGAAATGCATCTATCAATACCATATTTCGGGACAGAATTTTGCTGTTGAGATGCCGTTAAATGTGACTTTAAAATTTGAAACTTTCAGTCTCGCAAATTTTATCGTAATACGTTGAAGTTCACTGCAATTTTTGCTTTGTTACATAGGTGTTATGGCTTGTTCTTCATCCCGAATGAATCTGGGTGAGTACACGGTAGCTGGAGTTTAAAAAATTTCTTTTTTCCGGTTAAAATGGCGACCGGGACTTGGGCAACCCTCTCTTCCCATAGTGCCTGGCGGGCGTAATGAAAAAAACATGGCGGAATCTTACTGGTGGCTCAGAAGTATTTATTATTTTCTGACCATTTGAGACCTTAGTTGTTTTTATTTTTTGGTGAATTTGAAATATCCTTAGCCCTTCAGAAGCATTCAGATTTTAGATGGAAAAAATATATATATATTGTTAATTTTGGGTAACAAAAAAGATGGTAAATTTGCTCGGTAAATGAAATGAGAAAGATGTTATTTCAGTCCCCGACGGAAGTCAAACCCATGGCCTTCCTTCCGCACACTGGCCAGATGCTCTAACCACTGAGCTACAGGGAGACTCGTTGCGAGCTCACCCTGGCCATTGTAAAGAGGCTTTAGTGACTGTATGGATCGGCACACGGTCGGACAGAAAAATCTTGGCCATTGAAGAGAGGGCTGTTAGTGTCGATTCAACTGTATGTTTTATTCCTGGAGTCCTAAAATCATTTTATCATGGACATCTTTCACTTGTTATGTTGTTGCTCCATCGAAATCCTCAAGTGTGATGAATTGCATTCATTCAACCATCTTTCGGGACAGAACTATTATGTTGAAATGCATAATCTGACTTGAGAGTACAAAAACAGTATTAACTGCCTTATGTGACTTGACCATAGTGATTCAACTTAGTACTGAATGTCATTTCTCCAGGTCACAACTGAAGACAAAAAAGCATATTACACTCTATCTCCTGTAAGTACACATGACATGTTATGGAGGGGGAGGGTGACAATAATATTTTAATAAACACAGTTGAACCTCTCTACAACAAAATTAACTGGCTGTTGTAAGGAGGTTTCAATAAGAGTAAAGTTTATAGATTGGCATTTGACACATGTTCAGAAAGAAAAATCTTGGCCACTGTAGAAAGGTGGCTGTTGTAGAGAGGGCTATTAGTGGAGGTTCAACAGTATTCCTGGAGCCCTAAAACCATTTTATCATGGACATCTTTTTACTTGTCATTTCGCCACACCATCTAAATCCTCAAGTGTGATGAATTGCATTCATTCAACCATCTTTCGGGACAGAACTATTATGTTGAAATGCATAATCTGACTTGAGAGTACAAAAACAGTTTAACTGCCTTATGTGACTTGACCATAGTGATTTATCTTAGTATTCTGAATGTTATTTCTCCAGGTCACGACTGAAGACAAGAAAACATCCCGCACTATCTGCTGTACTTGTAAGTATACATGATAGGCTATGGAGAGGGAGGGAGGGTGAGAACTTAGTAAACACTGTTTCAGGAGAACAGTAAAGTTTTGCTAGGAATCGGAGACCAAAAAAATCTACAGTGTACTGGGAAACTAGAAATCCTATATCTGTACATTGCAAAATAACAGCAGCAACGAGTCCCCCAATGCAGGCAATGAACATATTGACATTTCAGGAATTTATATTTCACTCGCATGATTTGTTTTCTTGCGCAAAGATTGGTTGTTACAAAAATCCTGGCCATTGTAGAGAAGGCCTGGAGTCCTAAAACCATTTTATTCTGGACGTCTTTACTTGTCGTGTCGCTACCCATTCTAAACACTCAAGTGTGATGAATTGCATTTATTCAACCATCTTTCGGGACAGAACTATTATGTTGAGATGCATAATCTGACTTGAGTACAAAAACAGTTTAACTGCCTTATGTGACTTGACCATAGTGATTAGTGATTTATCATAGTACTCTGAATTTTATTTCTCCAGCTCACAACTGAGGACAAGAAAACATCCCGCACTATCTCCTGTACATGTAAGTATACATGATATGCTATGGGGGGGGGGGGAGGGTGAGAACTTAGTAAACACTGTTTCAGGAGACATAATTATTTTACTTGTCATATGTATGGCTACCCCATCTAAACACTCAAGTGTGATGAATTGCATTTATTCAACCATCTTTCGGGACAGAACTATCATGTTGAAATGCATAATCTGACTTGAGAGTACAAGAACAGTTTAACAGCCTTATGTGACTTGACCATAGTAATAATAATTTATTATTTATCTTGATATTCTAAATGTTATTTCTACAGCTCACATTGGTAACTGAAGACCAAAAAGTATCCTACTCTATCCACTGTAAGTACACACAACATTTTACAGGCAATGATAATATTCTAATAAACACTGTTTTGGGGAGAACAGCAAATTGTGGGCAGTACACAAAAAAAACACACACAAAAAAATTGTGGGCAGTGTGACCAGTTTGGCCTTGAACGCTTTACCATTCTTAAAAATAATTGGTCTTAAGTCCTTGAAAAGTCCTTGATTTTTTTATGCAAAAAGGGTACGAACCCTGCAATTAAAATACCTTGTAAATCTTACAGCATTCTTAGCAATTCTTTCTTATATTACTCTGATTTTGCTGCAGTGTCCTTCAAAAATGTCAGACATGGATGATGACTTCATGTGTGATGATGAAGAAGACTATGACTTGGAGTACTCGGAGGACAGTGCATCCGAACCAGATGTGGATTTGGAAACCAATACTACAACTCTAAAGCCCTGAAGGAAGATGATCCTAACGCCTCGTTGCAGAGCTTCCAGAAGGTGCTGGATCTTGAAACAGAGAAAGGCGAATGGGGTTTTAAAGCTCTGAAACAGATGATCAAAATCAACTTCAAACTGGGTAATGTTGACGAAATGATGACCAGGTATCAACAGCTGCTCACGTACATAAAGAGCGCCGTCACACGAAACCACTCAGAGAAGTCCATCAATTCCATCCTGGATTACATATCGACTTCCAAACAGATGGAGCTACTACAGAATTTTTACGAGACTACCCTGGAAGCTTTAAAAGATGCCAAAAATGACAGACTGTGGTTTAAGACCAACACGAAGCTAGGAAAGTTGTATTTTGACCGAGGAGAGTTCACCAAACTAGCAAAGATCCTAAAACAACTACACCAGTCGTGTCAGACCGATGACGGCGAGGACGACCTCAAGAAGGGCACCCAACTGCTGGAAATTTACGCTCTGGAGATTCAGATGTACACTGCGCAGAAAAATAACAAGAAGCTCAAAGCTTTGTACGAGCAGTCCCTTCACATCAAGTCCGCTATTCCTCATCCTCTTATAATGGGAGTCATAAGAGAGTGCGGCGGGAAGATGCACTTGAGAGAAGGGGACTATGGGCAAGCTCACACTGATTTCTTCGAGGCATTTAAGAACTATGATGAATCTGGAAGTGGAAGGCGCACAACATGCCTGAAGTACCTGGTGCTGGCCAACATGCTTATGAAGTCTGGGATTAATCCATTTGATTCGCAGGAGGCCAAACCCTACAAAAACGACCCAGAGATTCTAGCGATGACAAATCTTGTTAGCGCTTATCAGAACGATGACATTAATGAATTTGAAAAAATTCTCAAAACCAACCGCAAGAACATTATGGATGATCCGTTCATAAGGGAACACATTGAGGATCTCTTGAGGAACATTAGAACGCAGGTGCTTATCAAACTGATCAAGCCGTACACCCGGATTCACATTCCGTTTATTTCCAAAGAGTTGAATATAGATACAGAAGAGGTGGAAAGCCTTCTTGTATCATGCATACTTGACAATACTATCCATGGCCGCATAGACCAGGTTAATCAACTTCTGGAGCTAACCAGAACATCACATAGCGTTGACAGATTCCACGGCTTGGACAGGTGGACCACGCAGTTAAACTCCCTTCACACCACAGTTGTAAACAAGATTGCTTGAGCTACAAAGTTCACAAGTCTGTAAACGGAAGTACATGGCTTATGGAAGGAAGTACATGGATAAAGACACATGCATGCAGATCGGGGATGTGTTATATAACTGCGGCTATGTAACTGCCATCAAATGTAAATAACACAACAAATTTTGGTGTATGCCTGTTATATGTAAGTTGATTTGTAGCACAGAGATTACCTCTATGTACGGTGATCGTAGGTTTACTGGTTAAAGGGCATAAGTCACGCAATCTTTGGTCAATTTTTGTACGAACAAAATTGTCTTCAAATCAAAGAAAATGTCAAGATAGTAGTTCACTTGGGTGAAAAATGCCAAAAATGTGGCAATAAACCAAACAGGAACCAGAATAGTGTTCCAGATAAGATGGGGGTCTCAGGTCAAAAACCCAACAAATTAATGTAAAACTTGTGAGGATTTTGTGAGGTCCATATCTATTGACCTGTTGCAATTCCTCATTGGCACCTTGCCTTCAAAATGTATCTGGAACCCTGAACAAGATTGAGGCAGATTTGAAAAATTTAGGCCAACTTTTTCAAGATGCATAATCCATGATGTAGCTCCATTTAAAGATGATTTCCAGTCCGTACTGCGCAATCTCCGCCCGCATTGTTTATGAGACTCAAACGAAGGAATGTAAACATTAGCCAAAATAAAAATTCCGGGACAAACTTACCTTTTTCTTCATTATTAACGCCAGATATCCTTGCCAAACAATGAATAACAAGTAGAAGAACCTCGACGTTATCCCAAACCAATGTTTCAGCTCATCGAGCATCGACCCGTAATGGCGGACTAAAAAACAACTTCATGTTGGCTATCACCAAAGTGTAACGTATGAACGAATTCAAAACAAAAATGAAAACAAACCCGAGACTGCGCAGTACGGGCTGGAAATCATCTTTACATGTAAGATTGAGACAGATTACAAACTCTTGACCTATGACAGCTTTTGAGGGATATTAATTTTGGTCTTGATTGTACAGATGCAATAAAAGTTGTGTCTTGTTGCCTGGGGTTGGTAGAGCAAGCTCTTAATTTCATGGATGTTGCATTCTGTTGTACATTTGGTTGTTTGTTAATATTTTTATGCACAATTCTTGTGAAGTAAGGTGAAATTATACAAGTTTGCAAGAATTAATTGCGAGATTTTTGTTACTTGGTTCAATGTTGATCATTTTTGCATGACTAAGAAAGGTGTTCCTATGTGGTATCCTTTGATGTAAGGTGCTGCATCTCAGACGGAAAAATAAACAGTCTGAGAATCAGTGTGTAGTTCTTTTAGCACAATTTAATGTATCACAAATTCTGTTTTAAGATTTTGTTGAATAGTAATGTTAAACAATGTGCCCATGTTATAGAAGCTATGAAGCATTCGACATGGCCAGGGAACCTGAAATGGCAGTTACTATAAAAGCTCTATTACGTCCCGAGGGTCTTATTTATTTCAGGCTTCAAGAAGGGGGGCTATTCCAAATTAATTTTGCAGAAAAATTTAATCAACTTTAAATTAATTTTATGGAAAAACTACAAGATGCGGCACGTTTGGAGATGTAGAACAAATTTTTGTACAAAC